CCCCAAAACCCCAAAACCCCAAAACCCCAAAACCCCAACTCAGTAAAAGTGATTGAATATTTCTTAACCGCTATTACTTGATCCATTCTCTTCTAGTTGGAGGTCAGATTTGGAGGAAGCAAGGAATGTGGTGACAGAAGAAGGAAGCGTACCTGACTTGAGTTCGAGTTTTCTCACTTCTTTGGTGACTATGAAGTTAGAGGGTGTAATACTGTTTTTGAGTCGTTTGTAATGGGATGGGTAAGGGGTGCCTAAGGGGTCATAAAGGGATATTACAGAAATGAATGTTTTTCTTCAGATTTGGGTTCTTTCTGGCGTATTCTGAATTGCAAGAGGTTAGAGATTTATCAGAAAAAAAAGAAAACTTGAAATTTAAGTTGATTGTGTGGTATAGATGCTTACCATATATCACTCTGGCATATTCTTTCACAAGCAATTTTAAAATATTCTTATCAATATCATTTGTATAGAGTAAAATAGGAATGCAGATAGAATTATATTCTGGATCCACCTCACATCGCTCTAGCACTCTACTAAGAGGAATTCTTATAATTTGCTTTTCCTTATTTTCTTCAATATCATTTGGTGTAGGGCAAACAACCAAAATCATTCTTTTCTCTAAATTTCCTAAAAGTTAAGCATTGAATACCTTCATCTCAAAGCTTGGTTAATCCAATATTAGGAGATGGTTTTTCTTCTCTAATGTCTCTGACAATTTGTTTGGCCTAAACTTGTCAAAAATTCATACATCATCACCAGCCAAGTTCATGATATCTTTAGGGACTTCTCTCTTCCATTTCCATGATTTTGACAATGGAATTGCGATCATTTGAGCACAGGTCTACAAAATACATTAAAAGTGAAAGTAACTAAAACAAGCTATTTAAATGCTGCAACGCAAATGTGAAAAATCTATAAAAAGTCCAGACATACATTAGTGGGGTGTTGTAACTTGACAAAGACCTTTGTCTTGTAAATTTTGAAATATTCTTCTTCATATTCACTTTCAATCTTTTCTGAACTTTCTAAAGTAAAGAATAAGGCGATGTTAAGATATATCTAGCTTAGAAACATCGTGACCAATACCTTTTGACTCAATACTTTCTTGGTTTAATTCTTCTTCTATATCTTCTTTTTGCTCTTCATGTTCGCTTATTTGGCAATTTGGTTGATATTTTTCATCTTTAGTTGACAGAGAGCTACTTCCTAAATTCTTGTAAAGTCAGATTACCTGGTTCATTGTTGGTTTTATCCCTCAACTCAATAAGCTCTGTTTTCAATTTTTCATGACTGGTTTTAAGTTCTTCTGATGTCTGCTTATATTTTTCCATCTTCGTAATGCTCTCCTGAAGCAGAATTTCTTTTTCTTTATTTTCTGATTCTAGATAGCTGATACTTTTAAGGAAATGATCTATTTCTTGCTCTTTTCTGACCATAGATTCCTCTAGGATTGTGTTCTTTTGTTCTAATGAGTACAATTTATTCATCAGGTCTTTTATGGTGCCCTCCATCGCTAGACCGGACTGGTTAGAATTCAGATAAAACAGTTTAATTTAGCTTAATATTGTTATAAAGTACTAGGAACATAAAGGTTAACATTTGTAATGATCTGTCAATAAACTTTCAAGAACTATATGGTACCTTGGTTTTGTCCATTAATTCCATCTAGTTCGTGTCTTAATTCTGATATCATTTCCTCTTGAGCACGTCATTTTTCTTCAAGCTCCTGGGCATCTCTTTCCAGTTTAGTGGTTTTCTTTTGGAGATTCTGCTTTACAGAGTCACAAGAACTTATTTTAACGAGTAATTTTTCTCTTTCTTTATTTATTTTAGCTTTGTCTGATATTTTTACTTCGTAAGTCATGTTCTCTAACTCTGTAAAATAATCTTCGAGATCACTGAATGATTTTATAGTGAAACCTAAAGTATTTAAAAATAGTTTTACTCATGAAATTTGAAGTAAATTTGTGTTCCTTTACTTTGATCTTGTCTCTAATACGATAGTTAGAATCCTTACAGAACCGATGATATATCTTGGCAAGAATTCTTTAACCCTTCTTTCATATTGTTTATTATTGTCTTTGAAGCATTATGAGCTTCATTGACAGCCAGTTCTTTTGCAAATGTGATGATCTGATCTAAGGTTTTACTATTACTCTTTTCGATTTTATTTTTTAAAAACCATAAGATCATTTAGTTTTTGGTTATAGAATTCATTAAATATTTGTTTTGCTTTCTTTAACCTCCTTTCTACTTTGCCTAGGGGATCAGTATCATCAAAGCCGCTCAAATCTATTCGGTTATTATTTGTTACCTATTTCATCGAGAATACTTGCCATCTTATCTACATTTTTGTGACAAGATTCTAATTCTTCGTATTCTTGAAGGCTAATTCCAACTTCTTCTAAAAGCTGTTGGAAATTTTTAATAATCTCTTGTTTATTTCTATATAAGTTAGGCATAAAAATGGTTTTCGATATTAACTTTCCTTCAATTCAGATTAACTTAATTCAAGTCATATAAAAAATAAGAAAACGATATGTCAAAGATAACACATAAATCTAACTCCTCTTTCCATAATTTCTATAAAACCCACCCTAAAAGATCAATAAGTATGGCTCTGGTTAAGAGAATCGCTATTTTCTGATTCTAAAGGGTTTCTAAATTCAAACTCCTAGCCTCAGTTTGAAGTCTGTTAAATATTTAAAGAAGCAACATCTAAATTTTGTTTTTAGAAAGGTCTATTAAAGATAAACAATTGGAATATAGAGAAAATAGCACAAGAATAACTTTAACACGAGTAATACAAACCTATCTATTAAGTTAGTCAGCAAAGTTTTGGAGATCTTAGGCAAACTCTCTTATTGAATCTAAGCGAGGATATAAGGAGCTAAACTATATCAACTGATAAAAAATCTGCAGCTGGAATTCTTACTTGTTGGTATAAATCAGAATACTTAGAGAATTTGGGTGAATCAATAGCAGCACTTTCTGAGGTTTGATCCTATAGCTTAGTGCAAACGAGTACTGCTAGAGAATCGTCATTTTTATAATGACTTGAAACAAATTGAATTTGATCAAGGTTTCCGTAATATCCGACCATGTTGATTGTACTTTCTTTAATATTCTTCCAGCCTTTTAACTTATCACATAGACTTTGGACTATAAAAATATTGATGATAAGAGAGTACAACAATAGTTTTATCCTATTAGTAGAGATCTTGGTAGCTAAGATACGTTTCAATAGTTTCTGAGAGGTATCTAAACCAAGAACTCTGAAGATACGGAAAAATCAAGAGTTCTTGATATTTAGCCAAATTTTGTAAGGAATGGGAAATCAATGCATTTAATAAGAGACCTACTAATATATTTAAATTCTTTAAGAGTCTCGCTTATATTCTGGTCTTTGTATTCTTCGATTTTGTGTTCTATATTGAGCAAATGATGATATTAATATTTTAGACTTTTTGATAAGAAAATTTTAGGCTTTATTGTCTATTTGAGCGAGATAAAAAGAGCTTGAGGAAACCAATGAACTTGTGAATAATTTCCATTACTTTGACTAATGATTAGCTCATTTAGATAAGCTATTATCAAAAGAAACTTTTAAATCATATAGATAAAATTAAAATGCAATTTTCCCATTTGAATAGAGTTAAAACTATCAAAATAGATTAATCTAATTCAACGACTCTATTTTATATCTGAGGGATTAGAACCTTGTGGCATGCCAATTATAAATTGTAAGTTAAACTTCTTCTAGAACCCTCTATGTTTAACATAAGGAAAAGGTGAATTAGAAACTTCATAGTTTACAATGAAATAATTAAAGTCCTTTTGCAACTAAATTAGGAGAAATGAATCTATTACCTAGTTTTCCATATATTTGGTGCAAATAGTTATACATTTCAAACTTGACTTCTTTATTTTCGTGAGCCATTTTAGAAGCAGTCTCGATAAATCTATACTTGGAGTTAGAATAAGTTCGTATTTTGCAGGATAAAACTATTTTACTTTTCTGATTTTTCATTTTCAAACTGAACTTTGCAGCAACTGTATAATTGATCTATATATAGATTAGATTCATGTAAACCTAGGCATCGTTATAATTATTGTTTTAGAAAATATAATCCAGTATTAATTTATTTAGATCGTGCCTTAAGGTAAAATATAAGCATGAGTATAGCAACAAACTCACCTAGTAAAACTTCTAGTTTACCAAACTTGTCCATCTCTCTCAGGTTGATCACTGAATCCATCATCTTCATATATTTTTGAATCGGGTTTGAATTGTACATATCCTCAATCTTTATTATTTGGTTGTCAGTCTCCTTCTGACAAGAAGATTTTGAGAGAATTCCTGAGTCTGGCTTTTCTTTTCATTTCATCTCATTACTCAATCCATGCAATAACTTCAAAGATCTTTGTATTATTGTAACCTCCTCTGTTTGTGAGAGAGGTTTTCTGTATGGATAATGCTCAGGACTTACTTCTGCTCAAATATTGATACAACTTGTTTCTTGACTTCGTTCAACCCTTCTTTAACTAAAGTAAATCCTTTCTCGAAATTTTCTTTCTTTTTGAATGAAACCCTAAAGAATGATATTGACCGTGATTTATTAGACTTACCGTTTTATTGGAGCTGGAAATATGTCTTTGCTCACAACATCGGACTTTTCTCATGCCAAATCTGCGATTTTCTTATTTAGATCCTCTTTTTGATACTGCTCGCTTATATTATTGTATTATTCTTATTATTTTCAGTAACTGAATCATTGCAAAGACTGAGAGAGCCTATCATTGAATCTTCAATACTTGATAGACTGCTTGAGTCACTAATATCTGAAAGGCTATTTTCTTGTAACTTTTTATTGTCTCTTTGGCCTCCTCTCACTCTTCCCTGAATTCTATTTGGGCCATTTTTAAAAATTCTTCTATTTCTCCTGTTTGTTCGAACATTCTATCAGCAAATAAGAAAAGTTTAAATTTAAAGGAAAATAAATGTTCTAAAATTTAAGAGGCAAGGTTATAGAAAAGGTTTAATTTAATAAACTCTGTCTGCTTTACAATTCTACTGGCATAAGTCAGAGTTTACAAAAAGAGGATGACTTATTTTACCTTACGCGCATTCTTATACTCTTTCTCATAACTTCTTTCAGTTAAATCCTCAATTGCTTTAGCCTTTGTCTGATTGAATACATTGGAGATCTTGGAACTATTTTCTTCTGGAGAGTCGTATTCTAAAGAGTGATAATTGCTTATTAGGAATTAACTTACCCGGATCTTTTATCTTGCTTTCACTTAATTTACTACTAGTCTTTCCTAATACAACAAATTAACTTTGAGGCAAATAAAAATCTATTCTGAAGGAGAAATTGGAGGAATGGCTAAATATTCAGTAAATACATCACTATTAATTTTGCGTATATATATTTCATGAGCTTCCTTAGCACTAAAATAGATTCTGGTTCAGAAAAATCTGAGCTGAGTAATAGAGCTTGCAATTGGTCAAGAATAATCTTCAAATTACCTTGCGATAGAGAGTCTTGCATATTTCTAGTTAATAATTTATTAAATATTCCTTAAAAATCGGGGTTTTGGGGTTTTGGGGTTTTGGGGTTTTGGGGTTTTGGGG